TTCTAACGAGCTACTTCAGTTCAGATTAATTTGACGGAGAAGCCTTGGGGGATTTAACAACTTTATAACTTCCGACTAAAATTTTGCATATTTCCCTGAATAAAATCCATTGACCTATTCAAAGTGGTGCCATTATTTGGCATTTATAAGTATCACAACGGAAACAGCATTCTTTTCAATTTTCCAAGTTACTTACATTAGTTTTATTAGAATGATCACTAGCTGAAATCGGTCACAGAACCAGAGAGCACTGGACAGCCATTTTGCTCCCGTTTGGGACTCGGACCAAGGATATTCCCGTTACAAGGTGAGCATGTGGACCACTCATCACTCCGTAAATCTGAAGAGTCCTGGACAAGGACGAAACAACTGTCCAGTGCGTCCTAGTTACCGGTGGTTCTCTAACTGATGTAAGCTCGTGATCAAACTTGTTATCACTCAAATTCCTGCAAAGCAACCATTGGTAATTAATCTGATGCTTGCTCGAAACTGCCTGTATAAGGGAAGGAACGTAGAGTTCCGGTGAAAAGCTGTAACTAGCGAGTTTCATTATCGGCCATCAGACCACCTCCCAGTGACTAAACGGTCTAAGAGTTGGCCTTGTAACTGCAAGGTCGCTATTTTGAGTCCCCGTCGGAGCATACTGTTAAGGCTTCCCAAGCTAGGTCGAAGCAGCCGTCCAGTACTCCCTGATTTCCTAATAGTCTTTTAAATAATATCAGCTGTTGACCAGACTTATATCCGAATAGTTTGCTTTCGTCCCTGCTTTACACGACGAAGACTGAAGGAATTTGGTAGTCTCGTGGGCAGCATGGTAGTCAGTTCCCTGTGATAAATCTAGAAAGGATCTGATCTGATAATTATAAGGTTACTGTCAGTGCATAGGCTTCTTCATTTTTCATTGTATATTGAATGTAACTAACTCTTGGGAATTCACTTCATTAACTATCACAAAAATAAATCCTTTAGTCGTACACACTAGTGCACTTTATACGGAGTCCAAGGATAATATTCAGAGAAACAACTGCTATACTGTTTTTCCCTACTGGGGAGTTCACTTAATAAAAATAAAGGTCCTAGATATGTGAACATTAAGAGCAGATTTTTAAGAAATAGGTGGTTTTGCTATGAATAGACATCAAGATAACTAATAATGCTAAAGGGTTATAAACACTCTAAAGGGAAATCTACGTCTATGCTGAGCACTTACTGGCACTCATTAGCAAAAGGCATCTGCAGATAGGATTCAGTCATCACCGGTAAGATGATTTCAACTACTTCGCATTGCTATGTTAGTGCAGAGTGCCAATAAGATTTCAAGCAGCCGTCAAAATTCCTTTCTCTTAGCTTTTGACTAAGATTTCAATGGTCATATTCCATCTCGATTCCTACTGAACTAAGGAATTCAGTACAACTTAATATACTCAGTGATTAAGTTGGACCTGAACAATAATGCACATTATAAAGTTTCTAATATTGGAAATAATTCGCAGGATATATTGAAGCCTTTCAAAGTTCTATTTTAAACTAGAATGTCTATCAAAAAATTCAGTGAAGAGTAAGTGGATTCAAACCACAGTTAGTTGAGTGTCAATCACCCAAATAACTATTAGTCGCAAGTTGCATCAACCTGTCAAGACAAATTCATCACTTTTTTTATCCATAGAAGCAACTCAACAGAGAACACCTTACTTTCTTACTCAGTGACATAAAAAGGACCAGTGTTCTGGTTTTGGGACAAGTTAAGCAGAGCAAAACTTCTCAACACACATATGAATTATAATTTAAAAACAATTAACTGTTTACCGGCGTTATTAATAAATGATAACAATCTATATTAATAATAATAAAAAAATTACTAATGAATATGATAACAATTAATTATAATTCATTACTGTTTCGCAGTAAAGTTTCTAAGTAATAAAAAGTCACGCTTGAGGCATGAACTTCGTTGAGACTGTCATCAGAATTCCTTATTACTTTACAATAAAGTTCCGAAGACAATCTATCGTGTCTTGGGGAATACAGCGAAATAATTGAAGGGTGCTGAAAATAAGCCTGAGTACTACTCGTATTGGTTGGTACAACTTGGAGAATATCCACTGTCATATATCTAGTCCTTGGTGCTGACTGAATTATATCAGTCAGGTTAGGAGTGTGACCCTCACCATTGTGGTTCATGCTTAAGAGATATTGGGTGGTTGGTTGCGATCGGCAGGAAGCCCAAGACCTAGGTCCTGCTTAAAGATTGTCGTAAGAAAGAGGTAATTTCAACCTCCAAGGAAATGATGTCCTCTCAGATATTTGTACCCGCATCATCCAATGTTGTTTCAAATTATTCTCAGCGACTACACACTACCAACCAGTGTCGCAGTTGCCGTCTTATAGAAGGTCAGCCACGTGCTTAAATAGCTACACATTAACGTCTCTGACTGTAGCATTGGGTGACTCAATTTCGTGTCTCCCAGTAAAAATCAATTACTTCAAGGTTATCTCACTGACCGATGTCAACAAGCATACAACCTAGGTGTATGTCTTAAGGTTGTCTTCATCGGTGCAACATTATGTAATCCTAATCAGCTTGTGTCTTTTATAGACAGTTATGAATAGATATCTGATTGACAAACCATTTCACAAGACTAAGAAAGTATACTGTTGGATTTGTGACAGGTGTGTGCTGGCTAATTTAACTCGTAGTTTAAGGTTTTGTCAAGAATCTACCTTCTGCTAATAAAAGGAGCTAATGCGAGTTAAAATGAAGGTAAAAGTTATATGCATTAATTTTAGTTGGGATTTAAAAGTTGTGTGTATTTTCACTCTGTTTAACTAAAAACTTTAAATGTTTCCAATACTCTATGTTCACTTTATATCAGTCTTTGAAACTTCTTCCAAAGCTTCTTTTAGTAAACGTAAACTGCCTAGGAAAGACACCCACACAGAAATAAACGATATACTCATATTAAGATGCTGTTCGCCTAATGGTGGTTACCGGTGAGATTCAGGATACTGACATAATTCTGAGTAGAAATCATCTGCTGAGCGTACCTGCACCTATGTGAGCAATTGAATCCCCAATGAGACTTAGCGTAGCAACCGCCATTTCAAAAATCAGAGGATTAGCGATGAAGGCAACTTAGGAAGTTCAAATTATGCATTTTAGTCTTTACTGGGACGCCATCAGCCAATGAGAAGCGAATAAAATGAAGCACAGGTCTTAGATTCACTGAAAACCACAACAGAATAGTAGCATTCATCTGAACCTCTAGGAAGTGTCATGGCATTCATCGAAAAAGTTACACGACTAAATCAAACATATATCTCTTATAAGTAAGATGTAGCCTTCATAAAAAAATCATTTTGTCGTAATCGCTTCTTCATAAACCATCATTTGAAACCAACAAGAAGATAGAGGCTGGTTCCGTTAATTACATTCACGAAATTAGGCTAATAAAACTAGGGAGTACTATAAAACGTCTTTGCATGCATATAACTACCTAGTATACCTCCTTATTTACAGAGTCGAGGAGACAGGTGTTCAGACCTATCACTTCAAGTAGTACGATCTCAGAGAACTATTTGTTCGCCTAGTGATTTGAACCACTTCACCACTTTGGCTTCTTTTCAAGTCTACTTGCTGCATAAGCGAACAATATTGGTCGCCTACGTGAGAACAAAGTTAGCTACGATCTGAATTTTCTCCATTTTTGACTGACTCTTTCAATGATAAAACAACTTCAATATTTATAGGTATATACCATTAAGAAAACTTATTTCTATATCTTTATATATATAATCCTATTTTAGCCTCACTGCCTAAGTGTTACAACTTCCGCCTTATCTTTGTCTATGCGTTTGTATGTATATGTCACGGGACAGACAGGTTTAAACAAGATTTTTAAAGATATCATGATGTCGGATCGCGGATTGAATGAATGAATAAATGGATTGGCTTCTGTCTTCATTTCACTACTACAATCAGTATCAATAGCCGACATTTATTCAAAAATTTAGAACAATAGAAACATAACTGTTACTTTTATACCCATTCATATAAAATATTCAGTTAAAATATTCTGTAACTTTATCCTACTCCCACCTCAAATGCCATTGTTAGCATCAATGTAAAAATAGATGATGAAATTCATTGAATGACAGTTAGATAAGAGAATTGTGTACATTAATTTGGTTTCACTCACTGTATTCCGAGTGGAACATAGGATGTTAAAATTTGAGCCACTGAAATATCAGTAGTAGTGGTATTATTTCTCGAACAAGGTGAGGTTAGAAAACCTCACTCGTTTCTTTCTAGGCTTATTATTGACTAGCGAAGTAGGCGAGGCATACAAGTGTGATGTCTGGGAATCAAAATCATACCGTTTACATGATTGGTGATCATTCTAGTGTATAATAACCAGAGCTAAAATAGTTATGCGATCATCATAAGATGGGATATATTGATTTTAAACGTGTTAAAGCCCTGGAATCGAAATTCGGTGCTCGCATACTGATAAAGAGTCCCAAAATGAGACGAAACATCTGTCCAACACTCTCTGATTTTCACTGGTTTTCTAACAGATATCAGTCCACGGTCGAACTTGGAATAAATTCACTTGATCACCCTCTTTTCCGTATACGTTGAATACTTTACTTTTAGTCGTACTCTAGGAGATACGCATCTACAGTCAACACGATGGTTATCTGCTAGAGAAGATTTGTAGCTCAGGTGGATAATTTTGATGTGTTTTTGTTCTCTGAGCTGGATGGTTAGTTTGCGAAGCTTTCATCGCCCTACTGGGTGACATCTTCAGCGCATACTTCAATTTGAAGTGAGCTTTTAGGTTTCACCACGAGTGGTTATCTGCTTTGAAAATCACTCTTACTTAAATAATGAAAGCTGCTTTCTCCAAGTATCAAGAGAAGTATAATCTACTTAACAACAAAAATGGTCACACTGAAAGTAAATTCTCAAAGTACATTTTATGATTGATAACCAGTAATACCTGTTATGATACGCATTCGTTCCTCTGCTGTTGTTGTGTCCTCAGCCAAGATGACTTCCTCTGTAAAAGAAAAAGAAATGAAGTAAAAATGGTGATATCACTACACACTGTTCGGAACGGCATTGTAAATCAATGAAGAAAATCGATAGACAGCTTGATAAGCACTTAGATAATTTTTAGCTCACCAAAATGCTGTAAAGTGCGTCGGTAGTATAATGGTTAGAGCACTCGCCTACCATGCACATGATCCGGGGTTCGATCCCCGGCCGAAGTACTCCTTTACCTCACTTAGCCAGTAATAAGACTGGTAAAGAGAGAAGGTTGGTCATGAGGCTAGCAACCCCATCCTGTAAAAATAAACACTTCTACAAAAACCTCAAGACACTAGCTTGAGGCCCTATGTTCCACTGGGAACGTGAAGGGAAAAAGTGCTGTAAACCTATCTCAGAAGAAGGTGATTTTACACGCAGAGATTATGATGTAGGCAGAAAAGACATCATAACTTCAGCAGCAAGTAATTCAGTGCTCGCGTCGAAGTATGCAGATTAACCGGACCAACCACTATTCAGTATGGTCGTGGCAATAATAGTTGTTGAGCAGTGAATTTACTGGAATTTTTCATCTCATGTCAATACATGTATCAGTCTGAAACTGAAATCATATTGTGAAAAGAGCTTTATCAAAAAAAGGCTTTATCCCACTTACATTTATATCATCATGATGAATGTTGGTACCACCTGATGACATCAGTAGAGAAATTTAGGTTGTTAATTGGAATAGGTATCTAATATCTCTACAGGTATTTTTTAGAAGCATATTGATTTTTATTTTTTATTTCAGCTTGATTCCACACAGTATTTTTTATACAGGTATGAAATTTTCAGCATGTGTTATCGGTAGCCCAAATTTTGCAGGCCGACCATAGATATCAGGTGTACGTCGGCATGGGATCTAACCTCGGACTATGTGAACGGTCGGTGAGAGTCCTAACCACAGTACCATCAGAGGCGAAATAATTGATCACCTTTTTATAATGCGATAGCTACATAACACTGACTTGGTACTATGATCTTTAAACGTACGTATTCCAACCTTGAACAGATACAAAATGCTGCCGTATATTAAGGAATTTACGTGAAGTGCATGTAAAGGGAATCAAACAGCGAACACACCACTTCACTAAAGAGAAGTAGGCATTTATCAGTAACTTCAATAATCTGAAGGCCTTCTTAAATCGCTGTGTTACCTGGATTTCCATCCAGTATTTTTTCAATTCCTTTACGTTCCCAGTGGAACATAAGGCTTCAAGCTATAGGCTTGAAGTTTCTGTAGCAGTGGTGATTATGTTTACGGGATTGGGTTGCTAGCCTCATAACCAACCTTCCCTCTTTACCAGTCATATTATTGGCTTAGTGAAGTAAAGGAGCGTGTGGGCCGAGGATTCAACTCCGAACCACATGCGTGGTTGGTAAGCATCCTGACATTGTGCCACCAACGCACAAAACCATGGAGTACTGGAGACTTGTTTCGTACTAGTCCAGGACTGTTCAGCGTCACACAACCAACCGGGGTTCGAACCAAGGACCTTCCGGTTACAAAGCGAGCTCGTATACTATTAAACCACTGGGACCGGCAGTATAATGTGTGAAATCCTTTCCGCTTCTTTCTGGTCGTCTTAATCAACCAACCGTGTTTTTGGATTGCAACATGAACTCGCACACAGTTCTAGTTTCCTGTAGTACAGAGAACTTCTCAACAGAAATGAGTGAAAACACATAGAAGAGATTTGGATATAGCTTTAGACGGAACAATACAACATCGCAGGATGTACAGCCGAATACTATTTTAGAAAACAGTAAGATTGAGCAAAGAAATATTTATTTTTCAATTAGATCCTCATCTCTGACTCAATCTTTCTGTTTTCTAAATGTCTAAATGGGGATTTTCTCTGAACATCCCGTAGGAAGTGTAAATATTTTGCAATTTAAATACGCTGATTATTCTGTATTATGTGTATACTTATTGTCTAGATTAAGGATGTTATTATAATTATTGTCATACCCTAAAATATTTTTAAAAAATCCATCAACATTAACTACCCTAAATAATACACGAACTATTGGACACTCATTGACTGACACACTGACTGAATGACTCTGAACTACTACTACTACTATGAGTACTATAAAAAAAATACGTTCAGCAGTATGCTACAATAGTATTCAACTAATAAAGCTCCACTTTTGTTAAGCATAAATATCAATTTAAGTAAACAAAAATTAGAAAAATCAATCGATATCATCTACTTATATCTAACTATCCTGCCTATCTGCCTATACTTGGAACACTATTGATTTTGCCTAAATTTAAAGCGTAAACAGAGTCAACAATAACTACTAATACTACTATATTGTTTCCATGATCTTGATACTAGAGTCGAATGAAAGTAATATTTCAATTGTGTGTACGCATATGTGTTTGTTTGCGTGAATGTGTATGTTTAAGGTGTGTCGAATGTTAAGGGAATAAAAGTCAATCTACCATATCGTATTACTTAAAATTAGGCATAAATAACCTACATTTTTGAGGGGAGATGAATTGGTAGGAAAAGGTTTAAGAGCTAAAATATTCATCATATAAAAGATCGAAAGTATTTTTGGGGATGCGGTTACATTCTCTCAGTTGGATAGTGATTTAATTGTGAAAATTCTGTTGTCCTTGTAGACACGACATCTTCAGCAAAAGCTTTAGCATGAAGCGTGAACTTATTTGAATTTTATATGAATGTTCTAATTGTATCGCTTGACAACCTCCTGTGTCATGATTGGTTGTTAATTATATTTTTAGGGATCGCTTATACTGACTTCAAATTTGAATCTTTTTGATATGTGCTTTATTCTTTGTCAGGTGGTAAATTTCATCTATATTACTGTGTCTGTTAACTGCTGATTCATTGGAATACCAGCCTTGTAGAAATTCCGTGGCATGTTTTGCGTTTCCACTGTGTTTAAAATGCCTACATCTTACTAATCGAACTGATGTTCATAACTGTTCATGTTCATTGACATGAAAGAATATCTGAAATGTCTACCTACAACAGCTAGTTTATGATTTTGGATTCCAAGTTGAGACGGATGCCCAGTTTAACTAGTATAGTGATTTTAACAGCTCTTATCTTCTTTTGGTGTGTTGGGTGTTTTAGTCTGCACATTACTGGATGAAGTGATTGTGTTGCTGCATTTATTCTGAATGGTATAAGTATTCTAGCTGTTATTTCAGAAATATTCTTTATCAATAGATTAGGATGAACTTTCTTGTGGTTTTTGAAGATGGTATTTTTCTGGTAATATCATTCGAGTTTAGACAATTCTTAATGAAATCGTATGAGTATCCATGATTCATCAAGACAGTAAGTATTTAAGTATTTGGCTTGTAGGGATTTGGGTAATTGGTTACAGGATTCCATCGTGAGCTGATATTGGTTAGAGAACCATTGGAAAACCTGCAGGGAGTACTGGACAGCTGTTTCGTACTAGTTTGAGACTCTTCAGAGGTACGCACCCACCAGGATTCGAACCCAGGACCTTCCGGTTACAAGGCGAGCTCGTATACCATTAAGCCACTGGGACCCGATCCAATGGCCCATGAATTCCAACTTCTGCCGATTCACGATATAGTGCAACCGCTAGCCAATGTCTTCGGCGAGTATTTGTCCTCACAACCAACCTGCTGCACCCTACTGGTCACGATTTCTCACTGGAACCCCAGGTAACTGCCTACCTGAATAGGGCCAGTCGCCAGTAGGTCCTGGGTTCGAACCCCGGTGGGTGCGTACTGATGAAGAGTCTCAAACTAGGACAAAACGGCTGTCCAGTACTCCTTGCAGGTTTTCCAATGGTCCTCTAACCAATATCAGCTCATGATGAAATCCTGTAAACAGTAAGTATTTTTTTTTCCATTTAACTGATTGGAGGATTTCATCATGAGGTGACATCATCAGTTAAAGAATCAGTGCAAAACCTGGAAGTACTGGACAACTGTTTCATACTAGTTTGAGACTCTTGGCAGAAAGCACCCACCATGGGGTTCGAACCCCCAATTTTCTGGTCGCAAGGCGAGCTTGTAGACCATTAAGCCACTGGGACTCTATCCAATGACCGGCCCATGAATTCTATCTTCTGCCAATTTCCTTTAGTGTGTTTTAACTCTTTTGAATAATGATTGTTGCAGTTAAACATTTGGTCTGTGTGTGTGTATCTATGTGTGTCGTTTACAGTATGCCTGTGTTTTCTAATCTCCTGTGTTCGTTCTCTCGATTAAAGCCTTTTAAAAGAAAAGAATTTTGTCATCTTATTCTTCTTCCATTGTGAATTTAATGCCTTCAGAAAATATTGTTGATAAATTTTTGGTTGTATTGGTTGTATTTTTAAATTATGACAAATATGTCATCATTAGAAGTATATCAGATATTTTCAAAAATACATACATAAAAAATATATATATGCATTTTTGTTTGCTTATATCTGCCTAGTATTTATTCCATTTCCTCTATCTAGGCTAAACAATAAATTATGTGGAATGAGCGTTGATTGAAAGAAAATAAAGTGTTAGCATTTACAGTAGTGAAAGTTTGAAGCGATTTTTATTGACCAATAGTTTTTCACCAGCTTAAAGCGTGGCAACAAGTGCCACTTAAGCTTAAGCTCACTGAGGATAAGACTTGATAACATCCACCACACTTTATTTCAAATTAGCTGCGAGACAATTAAACTAATATCACACTGCAAAACCTCGATAATCAGCATTCACTCACAACCAGTACTCTGCCTTCAGTCACTTAGATCAGGTTTAGGCATATAGACAGTCTAATTTGCCATTCTCATAGGGGCAACTCTAAACTATAGCGACCCAAGTAAACAGATGCTATGACCTTTATCAACCAATAAGATGATTCCGTAATAAATAGACGTAATTTAAAGAACTCATTTATAAATATCATAGTTAGCTCTGAACAATAGTTTTACAGGATGAATTTCTCATTTTTGCTAATTTCTTACTGAAGTGAACCTAAACTAGGGACAACATACCTTCTCGTACAGAATTCGCTTAATGTCAGCCCGGACATCCATAAACAACGAGTGTATAACCCTACAGTACTCACACCCTACCTCTTGATGGAATTTTCAAATTATCAGTGCGCTGCATTATTATTTCCACGTTCTCACAATGGGCTCACCTGACTGGTTGATTATGGTCACTATTACTTCTGTTCACTTGGGTTGCAATAGTTTAAAGTAACCTTCATTGGTGCCTGATAGCTGTAAATCTGTTGGGCATCCCTATTTCGAAAGGATCAAAATCAGTATATCTCAGCAGTTTGACGGACTGGTAAACTGTCGGTCACAACTGCATTATTTTTTCGCCAAGATATGGAACAAAATTGATACCTTTAAAAATAAATACCATAACCTATTTAGTTTACTGACTGTCACAACCAGTTTCACGCAAAATTTACTCACCGGCTTTTTGTATCCAGTCCATGTAACCGTTGAATTCTTTTTCAGTTTGTTGTTGTCGACGTAGTTTCAAAAATGCACGACGTTTTTCTACACGTTCTCTTTCTTTTGCGAACTCACTGAAAAGGAAAAAATCGTCAGAAATAAGAGTAGGATAAAAAATCTCTCACCTGATGAAAAAATCTTTGAGTTGAAAACAGGTTAAAAGCATTCAAAATAATTTCACATCATATGATCCACATGCTTCATTGGTCACAGTTCCGATGTGGTTTGTAAACTGTCTTCACTAGCATCATCCGTCCATCGGCAAATCCATGTATTTTTTTCGCCAATTATTTATTAGCTATCAGCTCAGGTTGTTGTGCTGTTTGGCTCTACTCAGTTTCAGTACGCTTTTTAAAAAATCTGGTCCATAATATCAATTCTTTTTATGCTGCTTTTGCGGAAAGTTTGTGGAAACCACTGCGACACTACTATGATTGGTTCGAGGATTCTATCATGCGCTGACATCAGTTAGAGGACCATTGGAAAGCCTGGGACTATTGGACAACTGTTTCGTCCCAGTTTGGGACTCTTCACCAATACTCACTCACTGACAGTGTTCGAACTCACCACCTTCTGGTTACAATGCTAGCGAGCTCGTAGGCCCGATACAATGGCCAAAGCATGAATTCTAGCTTCTGCCAATTCATAGCACAGCGCGACTACTTTGCCATGTCCTCTTTGATGAGTTACTGCCTCATCTACAACTTGCTGCACCCTGCTGGTCACTGCCTCCTAATATAACCCCAGTTTAACTGCCTGAATATGGCTAGTCGCTAGTGAGCATCAGATTAGTTTTCAAGTATTGGTTTTGTAGGGAAATTTTGTTTGATTGGTTGGAGGATTTCATCATGACCTGACATCACGAGCTGTTATTCTCTAATAACTGTCTTTTGTCAGATAAAGTAAACATAAGAATAGTCGGACCGGTGATAGTGAGCATTGGAATGAACGGCGTGAATTTTGTCTTGCTTGGGACGCGTCACTGCGTGAACTTTTGCTGATTAGTGGTTTCGCCGCTTAGAACCGACCTGAACTGAACCTGAAGACGAGGCTCACTTCTTGGATTCAACTGAAAGCCACTGCTAATTAAGTAATACAAAGATGAGTGAAAGGCTTCAATAGATATTGTATATATTGGAAGTCGATCCGATGAAATTAAATGATGCGAAATGTAAACTTCAAATATATAGCCATCAGAATCTCTCTGACAGAGCATATTATTATTATTAGTATTACTGCTCCCTTGGGTTCCTAGTGGAACAGAGGGCTTCAACTGCACGTCTCCACTTGCCACTTCTCTCTTCCTTCTGCTATACTTTTCACCTGCATCTATGTTAGTCCATGCTGTTTCAACTCCTTTACACATGATGTCCTCCATGTCACCTTTGCGTTGACGTCCCACACGCCTCTTCCCTTTCGGGTTCCACTCAAGAAATGTCTTGACGCGCGATGTCACCCAGCGGTCTCCTCAACGAGTGTCCGATCCATCTCCACTTTCTCCTACACATTTGTCGGGCGATTGGTTCTTGTTTTGTTTCTTCCCATAGTTTCCCATTGTTGGTGATTCCTTCCGGCCAGGCCATCTGATCTTCAGTATAGATCCAGCGAAGACAGTTGTTAAAAAAGGTCTGCATGCAACAGGCTGTTGGAAATATTCTTTGTGACCCACCCGCCCGCCAAGTTTCTGATCCGTATAGAAGAGCTAACTGACTTGACGTTGTTTGTATTGAAAATCCGACTGGATTTTGTTGTTGATGCTGAGTGACGAAGATTTCCAGATTGATTTCAGGTTGATGAGTGTGTGTGTTTCTCGCCTACCCGATTCTCGCTCGATTTGACATCCTCGTCCGTTCCGACTACCTGTAGTTTTATTTTTATTTTTTTTTATTTTTTTTTTTGATTACAGCTTGATTCCACAACGTATTTTTGGTACAAGTGTGGAATTTTCAGCGTGGATATCGGTAGCCCAAAATTCGCAGGCCAACCATAGATATCAGGTGTGCGTCGGCGTGGGCTCGAACCTCGAACCATGTGCATGGTCGGCGAGAGTCCTAACCACTGTGCCACCGACGCACACAATGCTCCCTAGATCAGTGAGTGAATGAAGTAACCTCTATCAAATCCCTCCCGTTGGTGGTGATTGACGCTGAATGTTGCTGCTGTTGTTGTTGACAGAGCATAAGTACTCCTTAAATAGTAAACGCTAACGTGGGAATCAAAGTTGCTTCCTAATGGAAATTAACTGGTCATAGAAGTTGGCACATTCGCGAACTGTTGCTATATCAAATACCATCACCCATCGCAACTCTGGTAACAGTAAACAGAGTTTATAAAGAGTTTCATACACACAAATAATTCTGTTCGACTTCTTTTCAAGAGGAATTGAGGAACTTGAGCAAAGCAATAATAGCACATGGTACAGGATAAAATAGATCCTTTTTTATTATTTCAGTAATTTGTCAATCACATGAAATTTAAATAATAAGTCTAAATAGTTTTATCATATTTTTCACGTAATTTGGTTCATTGGGGACAAAGAAAAGCCCCAATAACCGTTTCACATTTTATCTCGAATGAAATAAAGTATGTTTAGTACGTAATAGAACTATTAAATTACATTATTTAGGATCATTGCAGCTGAAAAGATACCGAAAATAATTGACAATGGGTCTGTTTCATACTGCTCCATGTGTTGTTATTGCTTCGCTCAAATTCTTCAAGGGGTATTCATGTATGAAATCTGAGAACTCTTAGAATGGGTAAAAGATTCGCTTTTTGGAACAACCCTTATTATTCACTAGATTGTGTCTGAAACATTATCCATTAAACATTTCAATGATAGTTTGTAGTACATCTGACAAATAAATTGGGAGTAAACAGAACTTTACTATAACCCTTAATTTCTCCCATTATGTTACATTATCATTAAGAAATTTCTAACAATAATTTGGCTGGAGATGAGATGACATTGGGGGCAGTGAAATGCTAAATGTTTGGCAGTTGGGTCTCACACATCAAGTGGCACAGTTCCGGATTAGTAGCCTGCAGGCTGGCGGTTTAGATTCTACCACGACGTAGACTTTCATTCCACTTCCAATTACCATTACTCCCCGACGCCAATATTTCAATTTTATTCCTTTGAGTTCCTGGTGGGGTACAAGGCTCCAAGCTTCAGCTATGAAGTTTCAGCAGCACTATCTTTTTTACGGGTTGAAATCTCCGGCCTCACGCATAACCTTCTTTCTTAGCCTTATTTACTATCGTCTGGGAAAGCGTCTCCCAGAGGTTGAACGCCCAACCATTCAAGTAGTTTACACCGACATGACATCAGTGATTAAGTTGGATTACTTTTCTCTTCCAGAGGCTCAAATAACAAAATAGTTTCAACATGAAAATAACATATAGTTAAGGCAAATCTTTCTTGAAGAAACTTTAACTCACCCACTCAAAACACCGAGTACCAAATTCAACATAAAGAAGGAGCCGAGTATTATTAGTGGTACAAAGTATAAGTAGTTGAAACGATCTCCGAATGCATCATTTGTCTAATACAAGAATCAATGAGAAGAGGAGAAACAGAGCAAAATACACCTCGTGAGTAAGTGAGTGAAACGTATTACAATGTTTGTTTTTAAACTTTTCAATCAAAAAATGTACTTTTACCCTGTTTTTTCGTGAATGGTAACACAACTTCTATCAAGTGGATGGACGTCAATAATAAGAGGCAGTTCAAAATTCATTCAGTGAAAAGTCTTTTTTTTCATTAAAGGAGAAATTAGATTTCATTTTAAGGGTTTGTTTTCCACTCTATTTTAAGTAAAAAAGATGAAATCAAGCAGTGAAATTTGCATTTTTACTTTCCTGTTCAGTTCCGCACTTTGTTTCCTTCAATTTTTGATTGCAACTTGATTCCACATCGTATTTTTTGGTACAGGTATGGAATTTTCAGCATGTGATATCGGTAGCCCTAATTTCGCATGCCGACCCTAGATATCAGGTGTGCGCCGACAGGGGATCGAACCCCGAACCGTGTGCTTGGTCGGCGAGAGTCCTAACCACTGTGCCTCCGACGCATAAATTAAGGGCACTTTAAGCTTACATTTGAAGGCAATATTGCTCTGGGTATTGTATGCTTTGAATATGATGTAATAGTATTAGCCCTAATAGGTCATAGATTACAGTTCATTCGCAAGTGTTGAACTTTTCGATGATGACGTGTATGAAGTTATTTTCACAAGACATCCATTGACTGCTTAGATGACTACTGTATGGCAAAAATTACATTCCCCTAACCCCACTGCATTCTAGGAGATTTCCATTCATGAAGAATTCTTGTCAGCATGTGTGGGACAAAAACCACGAAGAGGCTGTTCTAAGTGAGTTCAATCTTCTTTATTCAAGTGTTGGTTTTCAGCAACAAGATTAGTTTCACGATTTCATCATGAACTGACATCGGTTAGAGAACCATTAAAAAACCAGCTTCTTCCTTATGGTTTGGGACTCTTCACCAGTACTCACCCACTGAGGACCGAACGCAGGACCTCCTGGCTATAAGACGAGCTCGTAAACCACCAGGCCCCTTGGATTCGAACCAATGGTCCATGAGCTCAAACTTCTGTCAATTCAGTGTGTGGTCGCCGATGAAGAGTCCCAATTATTTTCTTTATAGGCAAATCCTTCCTTTCTCTGTCTGGACTGGTAGAGCATCAACATTGCAGAGGAAACGAAAGGTTTTGTTTTTTTGCAGAATGTTCTTTACTTCGTAGATTACTTTGAAGGATGAGTTTGTCGAGGTAGAACGACCAATATTGACAAGGTACTTGATTATCGAACTTCTTATAGAGCCATTGCTGCCTTTCTGCAACCATCAAGGACAGTATTCTTGAAACTTTTCAGACAGGGTTTGCGTTGAATGACCAATATACCCGGTTGTACCGCAAAAGGTTAATTTATACATGAACATAAAAAGGTCAAATGAGAGATGTCTTTCAGACTTCTGCAGACCATTGGACAACTGCAGAACACTAGTGCAATGAAAGTTATTCCCAAAGATGATGAAATTCTTCGCTTAAGAATACTGAAGGTTAGCTCTCTCTTGAACTCAGAGTTCATGTACGTTTTCCTTCTTAGTACCAATAAGGTTTCTTCCTCTTCAATTTTTGGCTATACTTTTTAGTCAGAAAGTTTCGGCCGGTATCCATTCTGGATGAGGGGATCGTTCAGAAAGGCTAATTCTTCTTTTAAAACAATAGGCCTACAGATGAGTTGGATATAATTGGCAACGAATCGGCTTTCTGCCATTTAATTAGGCTATCGTTATGACACCTTGAGACTGCGTCGGTGGCATAGCGGTTAGGACGCTCGCCGACCATGCACATGGTCCGGGATTCGATTCCCAGGCGACGCACTCCTTTGCCTCGCTGAGCCAGAAATAATGCTGCTAAAGAGGAAAGGTTGGGCATGAAGCTAGCAACCCCATCCTGTAAAATAAACACAACTACAGAATCTTCAGGCCACTAGCTTGAAGCCCTATGCTCCACTGGGGAACGTGAAGGAATAAATAAATAAAATATATGACACTTTGAAAAAGCTTGGAAGATTTTGAGTTAAATTGAAAATAGGTAACTCAGAACTGCGATCCTGTGTTTTTCTGTCTTTACAACTGCAAATGAAATATTATTTTAAGTGTGGACTACTCAGGGAGTCTAACTCCCTGAATTTTCCGCACTGAATTACGACAACCATATTTATTAATTAATCTGACAGGACGCAATGACTACAAGAGCATAATTTACGCATCAAATACCACTGGTATAGCAAAATACTTGAAAGACAATCACATCAATTAATGATGCTTACTAGCACCACAGTGATGGCCTCAGTATTAGACACTCGCATGAATCAATTGTGACAAACAAACAGATTGACTTATTTCAGAAGAGAAAGTAGCTTCATCCCCAGTGAAGTCGTGGGTGGATAATGATAAAGACTCCTAAAGTAAACTGAAACAGATGTCCTGTGCCTCCTGGTTTCCAGTAGTTCTGATGACGATTCCTGGTGAAATCGAACTTAAAATATTTAAACACTATACCAAAGTGAAGACTGTGGTTTTCAATAGGGGAAGATGGTGCGTTTAATGTGTGGGCACATTGACTAGATACTCAGGAGTAATCAGTGTTATATGTCTAGTTCTTAGTCCCAATCGAATTCTCCCAGTTAAGGTTGTATAATATCCGCAAAGTTAACTGACGCTCAGTTGTGACGTCAAAATATACAGTCAAAAATTACATAAACTGAAGTGAGTTCCTTTGAAGGTCACTTGTCCGTTGGCAGCCGTACTAATAGAATAATGTAAACAATCATCACATATATGTAATGACCAATGTCAAATTTTCATGTGTGCATATTTGCCTGTATGAGCGTGTGTATTGTTTGTTATGTGAAAAACATGTCAAAACATGATAGTTGGTTATAGGATTTCACCATCAGCTGACATCAGTTAGAGAACCATTGAAAGACCTGGAGTGCCGAACGGCTGCTTCGTCCTAGTTTGGGACTCTTCAGAAGTTCCCACCCATCTGCGTACGAACCCAGCACATTCTGGTTACAAGGCTCGCTCGTAGACCATTAGGCCGCTGGGACCCGATCCAATGGCCAGCCCATGAATTCCAGCTTCTGCCAGTTCATGACATAGCATGACTGCTAGCCAATTTCTTTGGCGGGTATTTGTCTTCACGCCCTACCTGCTGCACCCTAATGTTCATGACCTCCCACTAGAACCCTAATTAACTACCTACGTGAATGGGACCAGTCACTAGTGTGCATCTCATTGATTTTTAATTATCGTCTACGAGCTCGCCTTGTAACCCCGGTGGGTGCGTGCCGATGAAGAGCCTCGAACGAGGACAAAACTGCAGTCAAGTACTCCTAGCTAACTGATATCAGCTCATGGTGAAATCCTTTAACCAATCATCGGAAAAACATGATAATATTTTGCAGTGGTCATAATATGGAATTGAATTTATTTTCTTATATATTTTGCCTCATTAGAGTATGCCATATAGGTGATAAGTCTATCCCTTCTCTTCTAGTTAGTGCATTCGATGTGGTTAAAATATGCAAGGCTTCAAAATTCCGCCTTTCCTTATGTGAACGAAAGGCTTTCTCCTAGAATTTCGACATTACTGAAATTGATTTTGTGTCCACTGTCTATAGCATGCATTGCTATAGCTGATCTTTTTTCTAGACTCTTTAACTCTGCTTCATTTCTAAGAGGATGTTTCGAAAACAGCCTGTATTCATTCACTCTGACCTTCACCTATGTAGCAAGCTTCATATTCTGAACACTCTATCCAACAGACACAGTTGTTTTGTGTCATTATGGGAGCCATATCCTTGACATTCACTAAAGCTTTCTCTATAGAATTAGAGAATTTGAAATGGAATTTATTATGATATGAAGCAAGTACTCCTTGAAGTTGTTCAGCTGTGTCCTCTCAATATGGAATGGCTACCGTCGATACTTAAAATCTTTCAGGTTTCTGTTTTCTCTTCTCATGCTTATTCTCCATATCATCGTTATCTGTTATACTGTTTCCAGCTCTGTTTATGAGATTTAAATCTACTGAAACTTTCACTCTTACAAGCAAGTATGTAATTCTTTTTGTAGTTATAAGAGATTTTGATAGTCGTATAAAATTACTTGTCTGTTTATGTGTGTGAGTATATCGAGGTGCAATAGAATAACAGTGAGTAGTTATTATTATGCCCACGGGGTGTGAACACACTAACACTTCTCTTTTTCAATATATAGAAGTGCTAAGACTATTGTGACAAAACAAAAACACTTGACACTGTTTACTGAACCAACTCCTTAAAAATTAAAACTTCAAAAACCTGTAAGTTTGCTTCACTTGAGTAGCGATATAATTCAGTCTGATAATGACAAGGTTTACTAAAGTGGCTAAGTAAATATGTATGCAATCTTCAAGAACATGCTAGAAGTGAGTAAAATTGCCCTGTGATGGGGGTGGGCAGTAGAACAATGAAACAAATTTTATTGACTAGTTAATGTATAGATTTATTTTCAAGAGAAAATTTACTGTACTAATAACCTACTCTAGTCTTCTACTGGTGTACCTTAATGTCAAGGAGCGGTTACCTCGGTTGTCCAACTCCATATGTATATGTATGTTCACCTACTGTCGAGGAGCTAGATTCATAAGTTGTTTGTCGAGAAATATATGCCGCCGTGTTCGACATCACCTCCCAGTTTGGCTGACCATGGGAAGAGATCAAAGGTATTAATTCATCGATATTGTAATATATAGTAGATTCTGACAACGCAGGACCTGATAAATCCTTCGATATAGTCTATAAAGTTGGACAAAGTTTGCCGAAGGGGACACGAGTACATCTGCTTTGCACAACGGAAGCTTTGCTAATACATAACATAAAGCCAGGTTTTTGCGAACAAAAATAATATGTACGATCTCTTTCGTAACCATGATCATGCTTTGATCATGTGATTCACGAAATCTTCGTT